GTGGGGGTGTGGGGGTGTGGGGGGTGGGTGTGGGTGTGGGTGTGGGCGCTGACCCCTCTCAGGCCTCCCTTCTGGACTTCGCATGTTCATGCGGCCACAGCTGACCACGTCTGACACCCCACTACCTGACGATTCCCCCGCCCTTTTCCCCGCTCGCTCCGCTGGCGACTCCCTTCTCCTCCGGCCCCCCACCCATGGCGGCACCCCCATGGCCCCGTGGCAGCCAGCGTTCCAGCAACCTCGCCCCTCCCCTCCCCGCCCACCTGGAAGGAGCCTTGCGACAAGATCAGCAAAGAAAGCAAGCAGACCCTAAAATGCTGGTCTAACGAATGCGCCAAATGGGCCACCACACTGGACTCCGACACCAGAGCCCAACTGGAACGAGCCGCCGTGCTCTGGGGCGTACCAGTGCGAACCCTATCCAAACTAGGGTCATCGGCCCTGGGCCGCATCCTGGCCGCTGCAAGCCACTTTTACCAGTGACTCTCAGCAGCACACCGACAACGACGCACAGCCAAGCAACACAATTTCTGGCAACACCACTGCCGCCAATTTCTCGCTGTCCTCCGTTTCACTCTCCGGTTCTTCCCAACCGACGACGTCACCGCACGTCATTTTTGTTCCTGGCTACTCGCACAGCTTCAGCTACTTGACGTTTGCCATCTCTCGTGTGGTTCTGGCCAACTGAAAGCCCTGCTTGCCCGACTTGGCCTGGATTCCCCCGCTTCTGACTTCTCGTCTCAGCTTGTCCCTTCCGCGGTTTATCTGAGATTCACCAGCCATCCCAAATGGCAAACCTTTTTCTATGTCGGTGCAACTCGCACCTCTCTCATGGCTCGGGATCACAGCCGATTCCGCAAGCTACTCCAGGTTCAACGACACAAGTTTGGTCAACGCCGAGCTGGCCGTTCGATGGTGGGCGCATTTCGATGTTTTCCACTTTTACGCTTCAGTGCCCATCCACATCGCCGTCCCAGCAACCGACCTCTTCGCTACTGAGCAGTTCTACATTCAGGAACTGCAACCGTCTCTCAATTTTTGCTTCATCGAGAGACATTTTCGGCCACGCACGGGCTTCACACGACAATTGGACTTTTCTCAATCCCGGCACATGGGCTTTGCCACCATTTGGCGGAAGCGTCGCAGACTACGACTACCAATCGCTCTGCAACAAGCTTTCCTTGCCAAGCGTATGAGCAACTGCCTGGATTTGTGGCGCCTTTTGGGCGATCTTGGCAGCAACACCCTACGACGATTCGATGCCGTCCGTTACATACGGAGCAGGGGCTTCCCACACGCTGCCCTATACATCCTTCATCGCATCGCTGCGCACTTGCCTGAACCACACCACCAGGCATGCATCTCTATTCGATCTAGCCTGCGCTTCCGGGGCCTTATCCCACCCGGCCCCTCCAGACCGATGCTTGCGCCTTTCTTCGCACATCCCTCCTTTCGGACTTTGCTTTTGCCCCAGCTCCGCGGGTTTATCAGATCCACCACCCGCTGTGCTCTACCGTTTCATGTGGCGCAACCACGCATCGCTTTCACACCGGAAACTATCCAGTGCCTTGTTCTCACACCTCCAGGCAGCTCAAACCTGGAGTCTCGGCGAGTTGTCCTGCGCATGTACCGGCCTCGCCAAGCGACACCCATCCCTCCCGAAGCATGAGGGACACCTTCTTTTTTCCGGCTCCGACACTCATGAGTTGTTCGAGTCAGCATGCTTTCTGGTTCAATGCGGAACTCCTTCTTTCCTCCACGCGGGGTCTTGATGAATCGTCTGACTCAGGCGTTTCACCACTGGGCCAGGACCAACAACCTGCCCTCGCTCGATCCATCAACCCTTTCCACTCTTGTCGATTTCCATTTCGACCTCCAGCGCCCTCACACACCACAGTACTTTCTACATGCGCATGTTCAACAGGCTCTAACAACCCTGGAGCCCCTTGTCCGCCATTGCGAAGATCATGCGGACTCCCGACTCATGCTCTATTGCCCCGCTGTGTACGGCAAGATGCTGGACGCCACATTCACGGATCCTGCCATCTTTGCTCCCTTGCAAGTCCCCTCCATTGAGATCCATCAACGGCAACGAGAAAGCATTGTCAGCAGATTCCGCGGTCGCTATCCATGGGCCGTGACCGGCTTCGGACGGCCAGCGACTGCCTACATCCTCCCCAAGAGGAAGAAGAACTGGACCACTGCTCGACCCATCATCAGCTTCGTTGGCGCCTTCTTCCGACCCATGCTTGACGCTCTCGCCAAATTGCTCCACAGCATGGTTGCCACGGCCTGCCCAGACGCATTTTCAGGTGGCGACCTCTTCGATCTCATGCGGTCTTTGCATGAGTTTCTCCGCCTCGGCCACACCCCTCTGGACTGTCGAAACCAGGACCTTTCCGGCTTCTTCACTTCCATCGACAAAGACCGCTTCTTAGCAGCCTGGCGTCTACTTTTGACTTGGCACCGACAGCGGCAACCACATTCCACCACCACACACCTCACCGCGGACACGCTTGACACCTCTTCCACCACCCGCGTCTACAACGGACGCCGTCGCCGACACAAGCCGGCACAACGCACTCTGTGGCTTGACGACATCCCCGAAATCATCCAAGCTACTCTTGACACGCAGATCTTTTCTGTCGGCTTCCGTTCCTTCAGGCAAACACGCGGGGCCCCGATGGGATCCCCCGCATCCCCTGCTTTATGTCTGATGGCAATTGCGGTTGCCGAGCAAATTTGGGCCAACACCCATCCTACTTCGGGACCTCGCTCCTTTGAGGACACCCTCCTACTCCGCTATGTGGATAACAGGCTCGTGGTCGCAACTCCTAGATGGTTTTCGACCCCGGCAGCCCACATCTTGTGCGACGAACACTTCTACGGAGGAGACATCATTTTGGAGACAGAAGCCGCCCTGGATTTTTTGGGTTTTCGACTAGACTTTGAGTGCGGCACCATCTCCTTCATCCCCTCGTATGAGAAGCACAACATGCTCTCCATCAAATCGGCCGCACCAATGATGCACAAGGAATCTGGATATTACTCCAGACGCACGCTGATCAGCCGGGTTTCCTTTCCTGATTTTCAGCGAGATCACGATCTCGCATTGTTGACAAGGTTGTACCACCAACACGGTTTCACCTTGCAGAAAGAAGGAAAAAACGTACCGGCCTTCCTTTGCCACTATTTAAGATCGCACCCACTTTTTCACTCTTTGCCCACCGGCAGATCCCCACATGACCTGTTTTCACACCGCAGCTGTCTGACATAAAACCTTTTGCGATTATGGATCCTGACACAGCACGCCGGCTGCTTGAAGATTTTGAACTCATCATCGGCGTTGCCCAGCAAGGCTTCGCCACCATTCGCGAGTTCGCTGAGGGTCCGGATTTTGCACCGGAAGACTTCTCGCAGATCATGATGAACAATTTCCTGATCATTGGACTCCGCCCACTCCACCCTCTCCTCCTGACAAAAAACGAGCTCGTCGCACACGCGACAAGACCTCCTCACGCTCTACGGCATCCAAACCTACCCGTGGACAACGCGAAGCTACCCCATCGACCAGGACTGATGCCGCTACTGAGGCTGATCCCGAAGCCCCGCAACCCTGGACTGAGGAGGAGATTGATCTCCTCCGTTCGCTTAAGATCAATACCAAGGCCAAGGGCCTTGCACAAGTGAGCTCGCCCCACTCGGGGCCTTGTGTGTGTGAACCGTCCTGGAACACGGACGTTAAGCAGGGGGACACAGCACTTCACTGGGACTGTGTCCAACGAAGCTACCAGTGAAGTGGAATATCCAGCTTGGCCGGCTGGACGTACCTGCCTTTCCTTCTTTTTCCTGACTGTTTTTCTGTCCTGTTCGCTGTTGCTTCCCGGTTTCTGTTCTGCATTGTGATCTGTCAAGCAATTTCAGCAGTTGCAGGTTTTTCCAACCTTTTCATCTCGGCTAGTGAAGCCTCTCGAGATAAGTGTGTGTCTGTGTGTGTGTCTGTGTGTGTGTCTGTGTGTGTGTGTCTGTGCGTGTCTGTGTGTGTGTCTGTGTGTGTGTCTGTGTGTGTGTCTGTGTGTGTGTCTGTGTGTGTCTGTGTGTGTGTCTGTGTGTGTGTCTGTGTGTGTGTGTCTGTGTGTGGGTGGGTGGGCGGGTGGGTGGGTGGGTGGGAGAGAGAAAATAGCATTGCTTTTTTGTCTGTGGTTGCCATAGTTATCAGTCAGCAGCTCAAAATACGTCCAACATCAAGTTTCGTGAACATCCATTGGCAGTTCTTTCAGCATTGACATCTGGAAAAACGGACAAACACTAGCAATTGCAACTATTGCGCGAATAGATTCTTTCCACAGCCTTGCAGGTGTGGTCGAAGGACGCGGTAGCAAAGAGATGAGGTGACCTGCAGAAAGAGACTTCTCTGCTCGCCTCCAGCTTCGATGTGATGTGGCCTATGCGAAAACCGAAGGATATTGATGAAATTCTGGTGCATCCCTCGAAACCTTGGCAACATGAAATAAAACCCTCAGCGGCATTGATGTGGCACATACTGAGAAGGGCACGTATTAAGTCGCCTTCCTGTGACAATGTCATAGAGTCCTGCATACAAAACGAGCGAGGAGGATAGGAGGACTATGTGCAAACGGCTGTTGTTCTTGGCACACACTGCGCTCACCATTTTGATGTCCGCATGGCTGCCATTAAGGGTTGTATGAGCTTGTATGAGCTTGCACGCTTCCGGCTCTGGCTAATGATTCAAAGCAAAGTTAACGCTCTGCGACTGTCATTAAATTTTCCAACTAAGTAAAAGACCTGCAATCATGCACCATATCAGAGTAATTGCGCATGCAGCGCAAGCCCGCTGGAACTGGCGGCCAAATCAAATGCTGTCAATGCTTGAATCACATTGATGTCTGCAACATTATTTCAAGAATCTGCTGCAGTCGCCAAAGGACGTTCAAGGGTTTGCCAAACCTGCAGTGAAGGCCTGATGTTTCATCAGGCTGTCACTTTTCTCTGGCTCGTTCACGACTCCGACTTCGGTCACGTCGATCGCGGCTGCGGTCTCTGCTTCTATCCTTGCAGCAAGCAAGGCCAAGCAAGGCCAAGCAAGGCCAAGCAAGGCCAAGCAAGGCCAAGCAAGGCCAAGCAAGGCCAAGCAAGGCCAAGCAAGGCCAAGCAAGGCCAAGCAAGGCCAAGCAAGGCCAAGCAAGGCCAAGCAAGGCCAAGCAAGGCCAAGCAAGGCCAAAGGCCAAGCAAGGCCAAGCAAGGCCAAGCAAGGCACCCTGAAGATTCCTGAGATGCTGGCGCGCCGGTCTCGATCCCTGTCTCTGTCACGACGATCCCTTTCTCTATCATGTCCATCACGGCCACCGCCTTTACCTCCGTCCTCTCCTTCCTTGCCCTTGCCTTTATGCTGCCTGCGAACAGGCTTAAGTCCATGTCAGCATCATGATTAAGTGAGGCTGCAAACCTGCCTCTCTGGTGGATCAGCAAGCTTCTCACCGTCAATCAGGGTCCTACCCCAAACCAATGCGCCGACACTAGTCAAGCGAGATAAGGTGATATTAGGCTGGTCCATGATTTTGTGCGTTCTGCGCTTAGCTTGGGCGCGGTGTATACTTTCATGCGCACGGTGGCCGAACCGTTCCATGACGCAGCGCAAGCTTTTACACGCATAAGCGTGCCCAAAACCCAGCCTAAACAAACCCTCCGAAACCAAAACTCACCGTAAACTATCATAAACTCCTCCACCATAAACTCCCTACACCAACCGCAAACTCACCCCAACCCCCACCCTAAAATCAACCCAAACCAAAGCTCCAACAACCCGCAGGTGATGATAGGCCGGGTGGAAAACGATGCTAGGGGGTTTGAAAACGATCTGGCAATGTTGATGCTGGTGTAAGTTTGCAACCTGTTTGTTGGCTTTGCCGAGGAACTTGGAGTAAGACAAAGTACCAAACTCAAGAGACCCTGCCAGTAGTGACGCTCGCGTGCAAAAGTATACATTCGCCATAGCTGGAATGCCCAATGCGAACCAGAAATAGAAGGATGCATAAAGGAAGGCAAGCGTTGAGCCAATAGTGGTGAGCCCGCGTATCAAAGTATACGCGCGCAAATGACGCCGATCCCCGCAGAGGGTTGCGCGGGCACCGCAGAAATCGCAAAAAACCTCGAGTTTTTGCACCTCGACCACGCCGATCCCCGCAGAGGGTCGCGCGAGCATGTTAAAAACCGCAAAAAACCATTGGTTTTTGCACCTCGACCACGCCGATCCCCGGCAGAGGGTCGCGCGAGCACCGCAGAAATCGCAAAAAACCATGGGTTTTTGCACCTCGACCATGCCGATCCCCGCAGAGGGTCGATTTTCGTGTAGTGTCGTCGGCACTACCCCGTCGCCCTAAGAAGAGATTTTAACTCCTCGCAAGTCAATTGCACTTGACTCCTTGCACTTGCAACTTGCGCTTGACTCCTTGCACTTGCAACTTGCACCTGACTCCTTGCACTTGCAACTTGCACTTGACTCCTTGCACTTGCAACTTGCACTTGACTCCATGCGCAGCTCGCAATGACTCTCATGACTCCTTGCAATGACTCCTTGCAATGACTCCTTGCAATGACTCCTTGCAATGACTCCTTGCAATGACTCCTTGCAATGACTCCTTGCAATTGACTCCTTGCAATGACTCCTTGCAATGACTCCTTGCAATGACTCCTTGCAATGACTCCTTGCAATGACTCCTTGCCATGACTCCTTGCAATGACTCCTTGCAATGACTCCTTGCAATGACTCCTTGCAATGACTCCTTGCCATGACTCCTTGCCATGACTCCTTGCAATGACTCCTTGCAATGACTCCTTGCAATGACTCCTTGCAATGACTCCTTGCAATGACTCCTTGCAATGACTCCTTGCAATGACTCCTTGCAATGACTCCTTGCAATGACTCCTTGCAATGACTCCTTGCAATGACTCCTTGCAATGACTCCTTGCAATGACTCCTTGCAATGACTCCTTGCAATGACTCCTTGCATTGACTTTCATGATGATGATTTCTTGCAATGACACCTTGTAATGACTCTCATGAGCACAACTCAAGTGAACCCAGCGGAAGAACCCTTCGCCATGCTTTCGGGAAAAAAACAAGGGATACCATCAACCTGGCCATGAAAATACCCAAAGATGACTTCCAAGGGACCCGGGGTCATCTTCGTTGAGTGGCAAAAACATGGGTCACTTGATTCAGATGGCCAGCAGCTGCGCTCAAATGAGCTTTTGGTGATCAATCGTACAAAAAGTGTTGTCGATGTGAATTTCCAGGAGTCAGCTGGCTCAATGCAGAACAAGCATCATGGGAAGTTGCCTGGCCAGGGAAAAGCTGCTTGTGTTTCTGAAGGCGGGGTCTTGGCTGTTTGCGGTTCACAGATTGAAATCTCATGTACATTGACACATCCGGGCCAGGCAGAGGCCCCACCGCACAGCCTAAAGAGAGCCTCCTTCGGTCTCGGAATGTTGCCGCGCAGAGGCGTAGACAACCATGATTGATTGTTTGAAGGGTCTTTTGCTGGGGCCCTCCCTTCCGAAGGTTGTGAAGTTGGCAATGGAGGAGCGTACAAGCCTTACCAGCCTTAGCATTGTTGCTCCATCACTGGCGTTGCGCACTGGAAAGCACTTGAAAAATATAGTTTCGAGACGGTTCTTCGGGAGGCAGCCGGCTCACGCCAAGTGGACGGCCGGTTGTGGTTAAATGTAAGTACCCTACCAAACAGCCAATAAGTTCATGCCTCTGATTGCCGCGATTAACATTGCCTGTCCTGGCTATCTTGCAAAGCATAGAGGATGCAAAAGTCGATGTGTCCAGGTGCTTCTTGACGGTTGCAAGGACCTCATCCTGCCCGCTCTGAACCAAGTCCAAACGCGAAAAGAACAATAGAGACTCACCTGATCGTTCGCTCGCTTCTCAACTATCTCACGAAGCTTGGATCGGGCATCCTGGTCATGCGTCATGGCACAGGGCGCTCGCTCGCAACTGTGGTAGAAGCCTCGTCCAGCTTGTACTTCTCCATTATCTTTTCAGCTTCCGACAAATCTGGCAGCTCATCAATTTCACCTTCCAACCTTACAAGCAAGGGATTCAAGCAAAAGCAACCAACTGTCCACCTGCACAAAGGTTAAGCCGCACAGCCCTGAATCCAAGGCAATCTCTATGTGAGCTGCAGCTTGCCAGCCAGAAGTGTTGCCATTGCATTTGGGCGCTTGCCTGCAGTGGAGTCAAGTTGTCTGACGGCAAATATGCACTTTCCTTCAAACATAGTGAACTCTATTTGCCAAAGGCAAGTTGCAGTATCGGAGATGCTGCTCAAGTCGCTCCAGATCCTGGCCATCCAATGTGCCAAACTGACCTTGACTCCTTGACGGTGCACAGCTCCGTCCTTCAGGCCACGCTCCTCCTGACCACTATTCCTTGCAAGAAAAAAAAACATCCGAGAAGTTCAAGCAGCCGCCAACGCGGGTTCGCAAATCTCCTTCGACAAACTTTGAGCTCGGTAAGGCGTGAAGTTACGTGGTCATCAAGCTTGAACTTGCGCGCCAACCGCTCGACGTCCTGGCTCTGGCATTTTGCGGTGCCCTTTGTCATACTCGCTAAGCACTGCAAGCCTTGTCAGGCTTGATCTTGCCGACAAACTGACCGCACTCCATTTTCCCAATCCTCACATGTTCTCAAATGGTGGTGACAAAGCTCTGCGCATCGTGCTCTGCGCTCACGTGCTGCAGTTCCAGCGATCAAGCGTCTGCACGGTCAGTAAGCCGGTCGGACTGCGAGCACGTTCCAGTACCTCCAGGATTATAAACTTCAAGAACGCTTTGCTGTAAAGCCGCTGTCATAAGGCAACACGTCCGACATATCACACGGCCTCGTAGAGCTTTTCGAGGTCCTGCTGCTTCGTCTCCCGACCTGGTCTTTACCCATCCAAACATGCAAGCAGCTGAACCTGGACTACTCTATCGGTAATAAAAAAAATAAAAAAATCACGGTCCGTACGTTTGAACATCTGGAACTGGCCCCTACTTGCAAACAACATGACCAGTGGTTGTTGCGTTTGAAAAAAATGAAACGTGAGCGTGCGAAAAGCTGCAAAAAACACTTAGCAAAATTCAAACGTGCAAAGAGCAACTTGCCAAGAAGCACCGAGAATCAAATGCACAGAATAGCATTGCAAATTGTGCGAAGGTTTTCTTCATATAGGACATCCATTGTGGTCTTACTACGCCACATTTGCGCTCAGGTACTTGGCTTCCTTCGCAGACGAGTACTTGAAAACAAGCTGTTGCACGAGTTCCTGTGAAAACGACTTGCGCAGCTTGCAGTGAGCAAAAACAACTTGCGCAAAGACAAATGCATTGCTCAGCTTAATTGTCCAGAGTGGATCAAGACTCGACATTGATGTGGATGGGGCAAACACATCAACGGCTGTACTATGCAACCCATTGGCCCAACCAAGACTCCTGAAACAAGAGGTCACTACAAGCCCTTTCCATCCCCGGAGTCTTCCCGCAACCTTCCATATGGAAGCCATTTAATCTCCGGAGTCATCTCTGTTTCATCTTCCCTATGGAAGCCGTCAACCAGCTCAAGGTTTTCTGGATAAATCGCCGATAAACAAAAAGAAAAAACGGCCTCCCTTGATTCCCGATGTGCTCTGGTATACCTCCTGGAGTCTTTCACGTGTGAGCACCGAAGCTGCCTTTCATGTCATGTCGTGTCCATTCATTCATTTCACGTCATGTCACTTCCATCACCCAACAACCTATAAACTCGCTGGCCCAGTGACTATCTAACTCGTCAGGGACTTGTGTGGCAGTAACATGAGTCAGGGACCAGCTGATGGTGCGGGTATGCCACAACAAAATAATCGACAAGCATTTGCATACGCGTGGCCTGTGGACAATGAGTTTCCCGCAAGTCCGTAGCCAGGTTACCGTACAATGCGTGTACCACAGTTCCAACCACATGCACAAGATTCAGCGCTTTGCTTGCGCAAAGCCGAAAAAGCTGGAAGGCAAAAAATAACAAAATGCAAAAAAAAACCTGAAAAACCGACCAGCTGAAAAGCAACTGGCCTACAGTGAACATGTGCCATATGCAAGCACTTCAAGCGCCTGGGGCAAGAAAATGCTGCTAGTCTTATACACTGACTAAGGCTAAGCGGAAAATGTATAAAACAAAACGCACTACTTCGCAAATGCTTTTGGTGGGGGGAATGGATCCCAAGCCAGCTATTCTACTGACGGTGTGTCTCCATCTCAAGGCATGACCTCCCTTTTTTTGCGTAGCTCTCACATCCAGACCTCAACAGTCACCGCAAAATGTTCAACTGGTATTTCCCCACATCTTTGTGTGGGGTTCTTACTTTTTCCGCTCGTCGTCCGCGCGCCGCGTCTCCTCCTCCTCCTCCTCCCGCCCTCCCTCCTCATCACTGTCTCACTCACTCACTCACTCACTCACTCACTCTCACTCACTCAACTCACACTCACTCAACTCACACTCACTCACTCACACTCGCTCACTCACTCACTCACTCAGTCACTCACACTCACTCACACTCACTCACTCACACTCACTCACACTCACTCACTCACACTCACTCACACTCACTCACTCACGCTCACTCACACTCACTCACTCACACTCACTCTCATTCACTCACTCTCATTCACTCACTCACTCACTCACTCGCTCACTCACTCACTCACTCACACTCACTCACTCACACTCACTAGAGGGACAGGATGTTGTCGCGCGCGCGGCGGGGGGCGTGCGAAATCGTGGCAGGCGCAGCACTTTGGCGATGCCGTTGCGAAATCGTGGCAGGCGCAGCACTTTGGCGATGCCGTTGCCGAAGTCGTGGCAGGCGCAGCATTCTGTGCATCTGGGTGTGTGTTTGTGTGGCAGGGGTCGCATTCGGCAGCTGTCTAGAGGGACAGGATGTTGTCGCGCGCGCGGCGGGGGGCGTGCGAAATCGTGGCAGGCGCAGCACTTTGGCGATGCCGTTGCGAAATCGTGGCAGGCGCAGCACTTTGGCGATGCCGTTGCCGAAGTCGTGGCAGGCGCAGCATTCTGTGCATCTGGGTGTGTGTTTGTGTGGCAGGGGTCGCATTCGGCAGCTGTCTAGAGGGACAGGATGTTGTCGCGCGCGCGGCGGGGGGTGTGCGAAATCGTGGCAGGCGCAGCACTTTGGCGATGCCGTTGCGAAATCGTGGCAGGCGCAGCACTTTGGCGATGCCGTTGCCGAAGTCGTGGCAGGCGCAGCATTCTGTGCATCTGGGTGTGTGTTTGTGTGGCAGGGGTCGCATTCGGCAGCTGTCTAGAGGGACAGGATGTTGTCGCGCGCGCGGCGGGGGGTGCGAAATCGTGCGAGCACTTTGGCGATCGTTGGCGCGCAGCACTTTGGCGATGCCGTTGCCGAAGTCATGGCAGGCGCAGCATTCTGTGCATCTGGGTGTGTGTTTGTGTGGCAGGGGTCGCATTCGGCAGCTGTCTAGAGGGACAGGATGTTGTCGCGCGCGCGGGGGGGCGTGTGCGAAATCGTGGCAGGCGCAGCACTTTGGCGATGCCGTTGCGAAATCGTGGCAGGCGCAGCACTTTGGCGATGCCGTTGCCGAAGTCGTGGCAGGCGCAGCATTCTGTGCATCTGGGTGTGTGTTTGTGTGGCAGGGGTCGCATTCGGCAGCTGTCTAGAGGGACAGGATGTTGTCGCGCGCGCGGCGGGGGGCGTGCGAAATCGTGGCAGGCGCAGCACTTTGGCGATGCCGTTGCGAAATCGTGGCAGGCGCAGCACTTTGGCGATGCCGTTGCCGAAGTCGTGGCAGGCGCAGCATTCTGTGCATCTGGGTGTGTGTTTGTGTGGCAGGGGTCGCATTCGGCAGCTGTCTAGAGGGACAGGATGTTGTCGCGCGCGCGGCGGGGGGCGTGCGAAATCGTGGCAGGCGCAGCACTTTGGCGATGCCGTTGCGAAATCGTGGCAGGCGCAGCACTTTGGCGATGCCGTTGCCGAAGTCGTGGCAGGCGCAGCATTCTGTGCATCTGGGTGTGTGTTTGTGTGGCAGGGGTCGCATTCGGCAGCTGTCTAGAGGGACAGGATGTTGTCGCGCGCGCGGCGGGGGGCGTGCGAAATCGTGGCAGGCGCAGCACTTTGGCGATGCCGTTGCGAAATCGTGGCAGGCGCAGCACTTTGGCGATGCCGTTGCCGAAGTCGTGGCAGGCGCTGCATTCTGTGCATCTGGGTGCTCTGTAATCGCATCCATACAAGGGGCGCACGGTACATGTGTGTGGACATTTGAACTCACATCCTTGGGAAAAACATAGCATGTGGGGTTATCCGGTCCTTTAATTTTACAGTGAAGAGAAAGCGGTGCGAGCAAGTGCGCTTGGTGTAAGGCAACACAGGCCCTTGAATAGTTGATTCTGAAATACTGAAAGAGCAAACAGGTTTGACCACAAGACGAACAAAGACTTGCAAGTTCGCTACCAAGCTATCCTGGGCTCAAAGCGTTTGACCATCGTCTCATTCAATCGCTTGATCCAGCGTTCCTGACAATCTCAGAAACGAGAAGATAGAGATGTACTTCATTTGGAGTGCCTCGATGTTAAAGTAATCTCCCAGTTCTCTAATGTCAGGGTCGATTTCTTCATCGTCTCGATCTGCTGCTGGTGGCTCCTAGGAAGCTCACTTAACTGGAAACCATGCTCTGCTTGCAATCAAGACAGTAGGTTGAGCATCTCTCTAGTATTGCGAGTGGGCAAGCAGTTACGAAGGACTACCACCCTCAGCACCCAAAGCAAGCATGTGCATGCATTAGTCTCCTTCTTGGGTGCAGAGGAGCCACCACTCCTCAAAAGAATCCACGGGAAAAAACAATTGCGCATGAAGATGGCAAGGCAGCGACGGCTCTTGCTGCATCCTTGGTGATGGCAAGTATCCAAAGCTGCGCTGACAATGTCGAGGCTGCTACCCTCCGATCATAGCCATTGGTGCAGCTCTCTGCTGGCCTCCTCGACAACACCAGCACGTGAGCGCTCATGTGGGTTTGGTTTGACAGGCTGATAACAGCACGGCGCCTCCCATCTGCTTTTGGGCCTAGGACTAGTTTTGAGTCGAGGGATACCGGTTCTTGTTGCTCTCAACAGCGCTGCTTCTGACAGAAGTAAGTTAAGCAACTTGAGCAACTCCGCCTCAGCTCCCCACCATCTGCATCATATTTGCCATCATCATCATCCTCTGCCAATCTGTCCACGACATGGCTGCAGATGTCGAATCTAAATGCAATCAAGGCTCATCATTGGGTTGCATCCTGACATCATGCCACCTTGCATCCCAGGCATCATACCAGGCCTCAATTTCATCCAGTATCAAGCCACAATATCCACAGCTTCCCACTCCCGGCCTCATGCCCGGAATCATCCCGCAACCGCCTTGGCAGCTACCTGAGCAGCCACCTGAGCAGCCACCTGAGCAGCCGCCTGAGCAGCCACCTGTACAGCTTCCCGAGCAGCCAGGGCAGCCCGGGCAGCCAGGGCAGCCGCGGCAGCCTGAGCAGCCCGAACATGGGCAGCCCTGCGGACAACCTGCACAGCTTGGACAACTTGGACAGCTTGGGCAGCTTGGGCAGCTTGGGCAGCTTGGGCAACCTGCACAACCTGGGCAGCTTGTGCAGCTTGGACAGCTTGGACAGCCTGGGCAGCTTGGACAGCTTGGACAGCTTGGACAGCTTGGACAGCTTGGGCAGCTTGGGCAGCTTGGACAGCTTGGGCAGCTTGGGCAGCTTGGACAGCTCATGCCAGGACCGCAACCAGGGCGCGGAAGCATGCCCATTCCTGGCACGCTGAGCGTTGCTCAATTTCTGGCAGCGTGCTGGCCTGCCATGCCCGTAGCTGCACTTGCCGTGCTGCCAGCATTTCCTCACTGTGCGCGCGTGTGAGTGGGGAAGGCCTACAACAAATCTGACTTGTCATCCAGCCTCCTTCACTTGTGGGCCTCAACCAAAGCAAAGAAGGAATGTGGACCGCTACTAAAGTTGCACGCTTAGATGTCGACGCCAAGCCAGCGCCATCAAGGCATCCCGCCCCTGTCATGGTCAGCCTCGCGGCAGCGGTTGATTACTTGAGGAGCGCGATGTAAACGGCGTATATGGCGCAAGTGATATGACCGGCGCAGGCGGCATATACATGCTAAAGGCGCAGGCACCGTAAACGGCACTCGCAGCTCAAATGCTGGAATTGGGTTTTTGCGTTTCGCGGTTTTGAGCGGCCAGCTTAAGTCCGCCAACCCGGGGGGGTGGCCACGTACCATTCCAAGACGTTCCTCTAAATCCTTTCTTCTGGGGGCTGTGTGGGTCACAGTTGCCTAAAAACATTGGGGTGTTTGATTCCGTTTTTGCATCCGTAGCATCTCCTGGGCAACATCGCCAGCACCACCTGCATCATCCGCATCAGCGCCTGCCAAGGATGCGGATGATGCAAGTAATGCTGGGGATGTTGCCCATGCTCGTGAAGGAAAATCTGGAAATGAAGCAAAACGCATGGAAATGAATGACATGAAGCGAAATGAAAGAAAAGGAACGAAAACAGACATACAGGGACATGAGCCAAAGTGAAGGAAAGTGAAGGGAAATGAAGATCTTCGGGGGAAAGGGGGAACAAGATTTTAGAAGGGGAACTGGGGAGAAGATCGGAGGGGGCGGAAGGAACAGGAAAGATCTTAGGGGGGGAGAGTGTTGGAGAGATTTTAGGGGACAAAGGCCTTAGGGGAAAGGGGGGGAAGGATCTCAACGCGAAAGGGGAAAAAGATCTTAGCGAGGAAAAGGGAGAAGATCTGAGGGGGGGAAAGGCCTTAGGGGGGAAAGGGGGGAGATCTTAAGGAGGAAGAGAAGTCTCAAACGGGAAAGGGGGGAAAAGATCTTAGGGAGGAAAAGGGAGAAGATCTGAAAAGGCCTTGAAAGGATCTCAACAGGGAAAGGGGGGGAAAGATCTTAAAAAGGAAAAGGGGGAAGATCTCGGGGAAAAAAGGCCTAAGGGGAAAGGGGGGAAGGCTGGGGGAAAGGATCTCAACAGGGAAAGGTGAAGATATTCGGATTTCCAGGGAGAAGATCTCAAGGGGGAAACGGGGGGGAACGGGGGGAAAGGATCTCAACAGGGAAAGGGGGGAAAAGATCTTGGGGAGGACAAGGTTAGGGGGGAAAGGGGGAAAGGATCTCAACAGGGAAAGGGGGGAAAAGATCTTGGGGAGGACATCTCAGAAGGGGGTGGGAAAGGCCTTAGGGGGGAAAGGGGGAAAGGATCTGAACAGGGAAAGGGGGGCAAGATCTTAGAGGGGAAGGCGGGCTAGGGGACAATTCCAAAGGGACGCAATTAAGAAAGCAGGCCTGCAATGTCGGCGGCCTGCGCCGGAGGCGTTAAAACAGACCTTGGCCACCGCTCGAACTCAAGTTCGTGGCAAGCACAGCGCTCTGCGCCCCGCCAAGTTGATCAGCCCAGGAATTGCAGCACAGCTGCTGGTCCGCCAGCAGCTGCGGCCAAGATCCAAGACTTAGAAGTAAAGGACCGCTTGGCCAAGGTTTTTGCCAAGAGGGTTGGCGAATAAATCCTCGATGCGCGATGTTCGTCGCGCCCATCAACTGGATTTTGCTGTAGGCACCGACCAGTTTGTTCCATTCTGCAGGCGGCAACATAGAAGCAGCACACATTCTTGCCAGGCTTCAGCTGGAATCTTTGCTACAGGCTATAGTGGTGGAATTCCTCCAGCCTGGTTGTCGAGAGCTGTGAGATGTCCGAGTTTTTCACACCCTCGCAGCCCAGAGCGTCATTTGCAACGGCATCCGAGCAAAAGGAAACGCGCTCTCCGAGAACTGACGCAGCTGTCCTTTCGCGGACAACAAATCCAGCTGTGCACCTGCGCCTTCGCACATCTCGGGCTTTGCGAGCTGTCTGGGAAACGTGTTTCAGCGCAGCGGCGCACTTCACTAGCAAAGATGTTTGTCGCTCCGACAGAAGCGGTCCCGCGCCAGACAAGCTGAAGGATGCCTTTGATTTGCAGGCAGCGGCAGGCATCAAGCCATCACGTGACGCCCAGCCTTTTGACATGCGTGTTGTTGACCACTTCAGAGACGTTGCGGTGGTTTGCACGTGGCTCGTGCTTCGCGAGTTGGAAAATCATCGAACATCTTACACTTCATGATGACACGGCGCCCGTATGAATTCGACTCACAAAATGGATGTTCAGGGCTCAGCGCTTTGCCCGCGGCATGCTGCAGCACGGTGCGTTCGCAGGGTTGTTGCGTTACGAGTGGCTGTCAGTCGCAAAAGCATGCCATGGCGCCCTACCCTAAAACATAGGGGCGCCTTCGAATAATGCTGTGTGTGAGGACCACACTGGCAGCTGCTGGTGCCCCGCTCGTTCGCCAAGACGGTCTTACGCAAGACGCGCAACGCCTTCATGGTCATTGCCTGCAGGGCGTCAGGCGCACCGTCCTTGGCGCCGGCGCAGGCCATTCAACTTCTTGGCAGATGGACCTCCGCTGTGGTGGAAAGGTACGCCCAGGCAGCTGGCACGTCGCGATTTAGCCCACCTTCTTCAGCTTGACAGCCGGTGGGAATTTTGCACCTGGCGGCGCCGCCGCCAGTGGCTGCGCCTTCTGAGGGCCAGGTTGCCGACACTTCATTGATAGCGCGGGTCAGGTCTCACATTGTCCACGCAGGACAACGGGACGAGCAACTTAACCTGCCATGCGATTGGCTCACGCGGTGTGGGTGGCATTGTGGAACCACCAATGTTTACTGGGTCGCCGTTGTAAGGCAACCTCAGACGATGTCGCAAGTGCTTTCCTGACCATGGCTCTGCGAGCAGCTCTGAAGCCGCCGTGGCGTCTCGGTCTTTTCGTTTGCGCCTTTGGAACTTGCGTGTTGTTCCTTGGTCAGTGTTTTGAGCATCATGTTTGCCCAAGCCCGTTGAATACCAGCATGAGCGCGATCCCTGATCCTGATGAGCTGGCCAACGACGCAGCGGGAGGCGCGTAAGTCCAAACTCAAAATGTGAAGATTGCGCGTTGCTCGCCAACTGATGAGCGGCAGCCAGCGGATCAACCAATGTTGGATCCTCTCAGGATCCACCGGATCAGCCTGATCGATGCCACGTGGTGAAGCCGTTCCAGACCACCATCAACAACTGGAGGCCTTGAAAGCACGGACCTCTGAAAAGAGCAAGGTCCAGCACACACCAGGTTGTCCACAACATGGCCGCTCGAGTTACCCTTCAATGTGCTCTCAGGCATCTGAACCGAAATCTCGTAAATGATAACATATTTTCACTGCGTGTCACACAGCACATATGTGCTTCCCTGCAATGAACACAAATATGTGTATCAATTAAGTGACATCATGTTGATTCTGATGCACGACTTTAGGTTTAACACCTCTATACGATTGTATCTCGTGTTGAGCTTGTCTCTGACAATGAGCGGTGGACGGTGTAAGACGGTGTAAGATGGTGTAAGATGGTGTAAGATGGTGTAAGACGATGTAAACGGTGCAGACGCTGCCTGCAAGCAGAGCAACGGTGCGGTATTTGAGCAGATTGATTATAGAGACGCAGCGCACTGCTCGCAATGAACTCGAGTCAAGCTGAGTGCCAGGTCCTTGGTCCGCCATGAGGTGCAGGTGCCGGGCCAGCTTGAACGGAAACGGCAACGGCAACTCAAAGTTGTGCATACCACGTGCTTTCATCAGCACACTTGCCCATACTTCCCCCTTGCCTAGGTCCGTACAGAAGCCGCTGGTCATAAAATATCTGATGGGAAGCTCCAGCAAGGTCATGCAAACCAAAGATATTGCTCGCTAGTATGCCAGCACAGTAATTCAAGCAAAGGCACTCGTCAGTGCAGTTCACCGACAGCGATGACAGGTGCGCAAAAGGCTCCAGGCGCACGTTTTCCATGTTGCCCGGCCTGTGGGGTTGAGACGAAATTCGACGCATTGGTGCAAACGCAAGCGGATACAAGATAGGCCTAGCACGGGTTGCACAGCCAAAACAAGCCAAATGCCCGAACCCTCAACTTCCTCAAGTGCAGTGGCATGCCAATGACTGATTCCTCACAGTGTGCCAGTGAGAGAAGGCATCATCTGGACCTGCCTGGACTCGTCATAGCTAATCAGGCTTGTGGTGCCGGACTGTGAGACACCACAAACCGCCTTGCCAATCCAGCTGCAGTAAAATAGTTGACCCCTCCGCTCACTCAGTCAAATAGCCGTGCTTAAGGCAAGAACCCACTGCGGATTTGTGTGAAGCCATGAAAGGCCTAGAATGGGGTACGAGTCCACCTGCTCATGCAGCACAGCAGACACATCAAAACTCTGACACTTCTGACATTGCAGGGAGCCTCAAGCATGTGGGTCGTTGTGTCAGCCTGTCGCAGCTCCAGATGCAAGACAAAATAGTTGTGCTCACAGCGCCTCTGGACCCAGTACATGGTTTGAGTGCTTGAAATGTTGAAAATTGAAACAGCGATCATACAAAGCAATTCCTAGAATCACTATGCACCAGTTCACTTGTTTGCAGCCTTGCTGGACAACCGAGTGCTGAGGTGCGCATGCCTCCTGATTGATCACAGCTACCACTCCATCCTGGATGCAAGAGCATGGAGCAAGCTGCACGGCATTCGTGAGTAGAGATGGCTGCCACCTTGCGACCCGCCAGGATAGTATCTGGGCGCTGAGGATGAAACCTTACATTCAGGGCTTCTTTCCATTTGTTTTCAAACTGCTCCCTCCAATTCTCTCTTGGGGCCATGGCTCGAATTGACGAGCACCACTGCTTGCAAGGATCAAGCGACGCCTCAGTCTGTTGCACAGGCCAACTCTGATTTGTGTCTGCACAATGTAAGCATCATGCGAATGTGGAAGCTGCCGTTCTGGAGCAGATCTGTCCTGAAGACGTTCAATCGGCAGGTGCACTACTGAAAAAAGAAAGGACATTCAAACGTGCCTGCGCCGCATCTATCCAGCGGCCCTCATCCTGCACCAGGAAAAGGCTAAATTATTTGTGACCTGTGAAAACATGTTGCGAGCATATTGAAAATATGCACAATCCTTGGGCGGCAGGCTGCAAACCTGCCAGGTATATTTTTCGATGAGTTGGACCTGAGCTTGGAAAATCCCTCCTGGATCTCATCCGCGTCTCTTGCCCCTGCAGACCCGAGGCAGGCCAAATTGAGTGTTCTGCGCAAGCGTACTGTCTGAGTCATCTGAGCTCTGGACAACTGGAGCCGTACGGTCCAGATACTGGAGAGTTCGATCGGCAACAAACAGAGGCACTTGGCGACCTTTGCAGTTGCAGCACAGGTGAAGATTGTTGAGTGTGGAGAGTCGTAAGACTCGTTGAGGCAGTCGCGAGCCGCCATTTGTGTAATCCCCTTCCAAAAGCGGAGCGTGGGAAAGTACAGTGCACGAATGCTTTGCTGAGGCATGCAGGCTGGAAGACTTGCATCTTACGCGCTTACGCACTAGACTTTCCAGACTCAGCGCCTGAGGAAGTGGAGAGCTCGTCCATCAGCTTCTCCGCCTCCGGCGTTGAGAAGCCTGCAGCGCAAAGCTCGGCACCGCTGTGCGATGGATGCAAAAGGCACTGTGCCTTGGGCATGGGAGGCCTTGCAGGCAAACTCAAGTTGCCATGCAAATGCCATGCTGGCATACTCGGCCAGCTGCAGCATGTGCGACTCTGAGTGAAAAAGAAAAACAAACAGTGTGAGACAATGCAGTGCTTCTTCAAAATATCATGCTGCAGAATTGGTACGTGCGAGCGCTCAAAGCTCGCATTACTTGGCCAAGCAAAATCATGCTTGGCTGAACTTGGCTGAGCACAAATTAGGACAGTGCGTGTCGGCAAAGAAGATAAGAAGGGACCACGGCCAAGAGGAAGAAACGGTGGACACTAGCCAACAGCATCAGATCCCCCTCTCCACTCTTCGCTTACAGGCTGGCAAGCTAAAGGAAAGGAGAATTAAGCAAGGCAACTGAAGAAAAGGGCGACATCTTGGTTTCCACAAGACCAAAACCATGGAGATTCTTCCGCAACTCAACAGAGCGCATAAGCATCTTGTTTGTATCGCACCCTCGTGCCTTCCGCGGGGCAGCAATCTGCATCGCCAGAAGAGCACTATGTAGCCTTGAAAAAGGAAAAACAAAACAAAAAAGGAAAAAAAGGGAGAAAAAAACGCGGGACAAACACTTGCCTTGCCTGCTCCGCCAAGGTTTTGCCAAAGGCCGCACCTTGCAAGAGCGAAACATGACAACATTACAGGAATGTATAGCCAGCCAGACCGTGTCTCGCTGAAAAAGCACGGCGCGCTCGAGCGTCTTGCCTTGAAGCATGCTTTGGCCACGCCGCAACCCAACTACCAACGGAGACGTGATCCAGAGAATAGAGCATGTGATTCGCGGGCGAATCCCAAATCTTCCCACTCCCGAGTCCGGAATCCGGAATCCCGAATCCTGAATCCCAGGATGAGGCCTTCCCAGTCCTGAATCCCGAATCCCGAATCCCGAGTACCAAACGCAAACCAGCCCTAAAACAACCCAACCCTAAACCAGCCCTAAACCAACCCAACCCTAAACCAGCCCTAAACCAACCCAACCCTAAACCAGCCCTAAACCAACCCAACCCTAAACCAGCCCTAAACCAACCCTAAACCAACTTAAACCAACCCTAAACCGGCCCTAAACCAACCCTAGCCAAACATAAACCAGCCCTAAATCAGCCAAACCAGCCCTAAATCAACCCTAGAAACCCTAAACCCCCCTAAAACCAACCCCCCGTAGACCAGCCCTAAACCAACCCTGAACCAACCCTAAAACCCTAAACCAACCCTAAACCAACCAGCTATTAATCAACCCTAATCCCGACTCTCGAATTCGAGGATGGGGCCTCCCAGTCCCGAATCCTGAAAATGTGTTTGAATTCAGAAATGTGATTAAAGCCCCAATCCCGAATCCTAAAAATCTGGTTTAATCTCAAACATGTGATCCGAATCCCAAATCCAGAATCCCAACCGAAATTCCGAATCCCGAAGGTGTGATTTAGTCCTGAAATGTGATTAAATCCGAATCCCCAAACTGCGCCACTTGCCAACGCAGTCCACCCATTTGTCCGCCATCCACCGAGAGTTCCGTCAAGTCAAATCAGAAGTCGTTTGTCCAAGGCCACAAATCGGGACCAAGCCCCTCACTGGGATCGAGAGGTTCGGTCTGATGAAGGAGTCCTTAACACAAATTGCACTTGCACAAATTGCATCGTTCATTAATAAGATGCGAACTGAGGTGAGCCAGCACCAGGGACTCTTTCAAGACCAGCCTCGCAAAGCACGCTACACAGCGTTAACATAACATCTCCTGTTTCTGCACCTCTCCCCTTGTGTCCAGCGTAGGTCTGTGAGCAAAAGAGACACGGATGTTGCCTGACACAATGTGGAACACAAAACTGTAGTCTGGCAAGGCCCCCCTCTGCAAAACAATGCAAAGATCCGTGGCAACAAGCATCCTTCAACACGCCGTCCGCCTTTTCATCAGCTAGCCAGGAGTCAGGCACAGCTGGAAGCACATCAAGCCCCGTGTCAAAGCCCATTGCCTGGGCGCAGCCAATGACTACCCTTCCTTGCCATATTTCTTACAATATGACAAGCGTTCACTCTGGTCACCGCTCTAGGGCACTGGCGCCAATGTGCTCTTTGATACCCTTGCAAAGATCCCCCAGTGTGATCCTCAGCTCAGGTCGCTTCAGCTAGTCTGTGCTCTTGCGATAGCTTCAGATCCTGTGGCGAGGCATCGGTTCGCACTCGGCACATCCTTTTTGCTTCCATGCACTCAGCCTTCACAACGTGAATATGGAAGCAATAGCTGGAGATCCTTGGCTGACAACGGACTTGTTCCCAACGACAAGAGACGGCGTGTTGGACACAAGAAATGCCACATTCCACGTTACCTCTTCCCCTTTGCAGCTGGCTCTGGTTTGGAGTTGAGCCTGGGGCAGGGGGGGAGGCGGCCAGTGGTGATTTCAAGGCGGTCAAGATTAATGCAAGAAAGGCTATGGAACCTTGAAGGAAATTTGCTAGAAGGGTCCTAAGCACCTTTCTGAAGGGTAGGGCCCTTGCGTGTCCCCTTAGACTAGGTAGCCCTTTGACCTGGCTGCCACAGCCCATCCCAACCACAAGCTGTCTTCTAGGGGCCTTATGATGCCCACGGGCTGAGCCGAAGGCGTTGAATTTCAAACGTCCTTCACAACAACTCCTGTTTGTCCTGGTTGAAGAACTTTGTGCCCAGGTTCCCGGCAAACCCAGTCGTTCCAATGCAGGCAACGTCTGCTGCAGGTCCGCCTATGCAGGGTCAGGTCGCTCGCAGCACTGTTGTTCTTCTGAAAGCACTTCAGCACGAGAGCAACAGGCTTACGGAAAACTGCATCCAGCTCTCATCGATATCACAGTACCATGGGGTTTGCTTTTGGCAACCCTTGAAATGGATTCAGCAAGGAGCAAAGGCTTCCCCAAAGCTGCCGAAAATCCAAAACACTTCAGAACAAGAAACACCTACAGCTGCTTGCCCCCTCGAAAACATGTGTAGATTTTAACATGTCGCAGCCCACGAGCAAACTGCACACTGACGTGGGCCAGCAACAGCTGACCCACCCACCCAAGCTAGGAGGGGGGGGGAACAAACCACCACATTTTGCATCAAACGCTACCATACACCTCTGTCAAAACACTAGGCAACATTCAAGCGAATTCACCTGCAGGCCTCCAGCATCGCAGGTGGGTTAACTACTATCATGCCAGAACCAGGCAGCTGCTGCGGCAGTCGCTTGAGCATCAGCTTCACAACGAGCACCTGCAAAGAATTCGTGATTTGCGCCAGCAATCTGCTTCCACATTTACAGACACATTGGCCCTGTCTTAGAGTCTTCCTGTCTGGTCTTCTCTTCTGGACTCCAGCCTTTCCAAGCTGGAGCTCCTTAACCCTTTCCACAAATGTCTCGGTCTCCGTGTCCCCAAAGCACGGAAACCACAGCGCCAGCGTTGCGCCGTGTCTACAAAGCTTTTGCAGCACGAAAAGGTTCCAGGAAAAGTAGGAGCTGGAAGAGTCGTACGGTGGGTCCAACAGGATCAGCATCTTTGTGTTTTGCGGGAAGCGGTCTGAGCCCTTCATGAAATGCTCATAGGAATTCCCCTCGACGATGGTCACCTTCGAGTGGCTGTTCAGGGTAGATACAGCTTTGCGCAAATCAGCTGCGACTCGGGCAGAATCTTCAAAAAAGATCGCCTGCAAATGTGGCCCAAAATGGAAAGCCTAAATCAATGTTGGCAACACCGTGCCTCGTCTTGGCAACGTAACCACTGCAAGGCAAAGCCAGGTGATCCCAAATAGAATGCCAAATCGACTGTGCTCGTTCTGTATGCCAGCCCGATATTTGAGTTTGCAACGCGGCTGCAAAGTTGGGAAATCACGAAGTTGTTCCGCTTGCCGCGAGCATAATCTGCCATTACTTTTGATACGCCGTCACGAAAGTTGCAAAAATGTTGTGATTCCGGAGCACGAAGGTCGTAAAGTCCGCAACCAGCATGCGCATCGACATAAGTGAGAGGAGTACCTCCATTCGAGCAAAACAGGTGGGAACAGATCAACTGAAGCACAGTGGTGCAAAATCTGCCATTTGCTGGAAAAGCGGCCATCTTCAACCATTCGCTGCAGAAGTGCTACCAAGGTTGTATGCTTCAAGCAATCTTCCGGACCACCAGCCAAAAACCTGACCATCGAACTTGCATGCCGCAGTACACAAACTGGTAAGAAATCACATTCATGCCAACTAAGTGGTTGATCTGAATCATGTGTGCGACAGCGACAAACAAAGGAAATGGGTGAAAAAACACTGTGCACGCACGCACAAACGCAGTCAGGCGGGACACGCATTTCTTGCCTCTCTTGCCTCTCTTGCCTCTCTTGCCTCTCTTGCTTCTCTTGCCTCTCTTGCCTCTCTTTTCTCTCTTTTCTCTCTTGCCTCTCTTGCCTCTTGTACCTCTCGTGCCTCTCGTGCCTCTCGTGCCTCTCGTGCCTCTCGTGCCGCGTGCCGCGCTTCGCTTGCCGCATTCCGCGTGCCGCGTGCCGCTTGCCGCTGGCCGCTGCCCGCTTGCCGCTGTTGGTGGTGCGTGGCTTTGTGGATTTCAGAGTTGAACATTGTGTTTTTGCTGTTCGGTCTACTTGTTCCCTAGTTGCCTATTCGGTCAGCTACTCAGCTTGCTCTGGCCAAGGTGGTTCTGGGCGACAATGGTTTGGGGGATGTGCGAAATCGGATCGTTGGGCTTGTCCAGGATCCTGGAGGTGGAGGGGCTCTCAAGGATGTCCACGCATAGCGCAAGAGACACTGGGGACAGTGGATACACCGGGAAGGGGGCTGTGAACGTCAGGTGGAGGCGGCCGTGGCGTACTGCGCGCGCATTGCACAGGCTCGCGACAGACAAAACACAAACAATCAAACCGAGTGTGTGACGCTTCACGTGCTGCACCCCTCGCCTGTGCACGTACTTCCTGATGTGCCTCTTTCTCTCTGTCATGTAGTCCTGAAACTCTGTAGTTCTCGCAGGATGAGCAAGCATTTTGACCAATCTCCGTTCGCAGCACGCACTTCTTTGTCCACATCGCATTTCCACAAAACAAGACACAAAACGCAGGCTGCAACACAATGGCATGTACAAGTATGTCACGATGCATAGCAAGCTGTGTGAGACGTGAAACTACAGCTCGATCTGCATGGGATAAGCATCCCTGACAATTCAAGGATCATCGAAGCCAGCTAGCATGCACGCCACGGCCTCAATGAAGTGATGAAGTGACTTAGGTTGCAATCTCTGCCACAGCCTTGCGTGACCCGCGCCTCCGGATCCTCCGAGCTGTCCACGTTAAATATCAAAGACTCTGCTGGAGATTCAAACATGACAGTGAAGCGGTGATACCTTGCGCAGAGTGCTGGTGCTTCCTACACACACACAGAGCCATATTGGAGAGTTTAAACGCATGCCAGTGACTGGACGTCTGGCTTGACAGGCGTGTTGAGCACCTGTGAATTCCTGACAAGGTGTCTGCAACCAGCTGATGAAGTGATGTTGGCACTACTCAAATGCAACTTTTGATCGACCACCCCGAAATGTCTGCCCAAGCTTGGGGAACATCCTAGAAGTGCACCGACTACTGCAGAGACGTTTTTGGCATCAGAATCATGATCATGATCATCATGCATCCATCCCAAGTAGAACTTTGCTCGGGCTCTGATTTCAATCCAAGAAAATGATGGGAAAACAAAATAAATATATTCTGGGGACGGTATGCGCTGCAAAAATGGCAAATGATTGAACCGGCATGTTTGATTAGCGTAGTGGATTGACGCCTTTTGCCTCAACTTTGCCTGGGCATGAAATGAGCCAGAGGCTGCAAATGAACAAATTGATGTGAAGGTCGTGGAAACTGCTTGTGCTACACATTGTGGTTTTTGCATTGCTATGCATTGCCTATTTGCGTCCAACCATGACGGCCTCATTTGATATCCCATCCAATGGAGCAGCATTGCCCATGCATTCACCATCCAATTCAGGAAGTTGAAAACCTTAGCTCTCTCCACATTGCATCCACACGCTGTGCATAGTTGATCAAGGCGACACACAGCACAATGCTGGCGAGGAGAATGTTGAAGAGATGGCCATGCATCCCACTGGTTGGCACATTTGTGCCAGCTGCTGCGCACAGTGGCCGGGCGACCTGTGTTTCCAAGCCAGCCAACGGACAACTTCCATCAGCCCAAGTGAAGCACGCCTTGACACAGATGTGAGCTGGCAGGGGCGGTTCGTCACACAGAAGATCTGAGAGGATTCCACACTGGCAGCCATTTACCCCACACGTCTGATTGACGCCCACCTGTCGCAGTGCAAATTCAATGCCTGCTTCATTTGGCAAGCCAAGCACGGCCTGCTTGATGCATGTTGTTGCCAGTCGTCTGCCGGCATCAGAAAGCCTTGTCAAAGCTGCGTCACGCTCTCTCAGCGTTGGGACACACACATCGAGAAATCGAGGAAAACCAAGGCCTGTCATGGCAGCTCTCGCCCTCCTGAGATACCTCCGTCAGCATACACATGACGATGGCAACGACCTTATATTCAGGTAAACATGACTTGGACTGATCACGGATCAATCACAGCAGTTGCAATAAAAGAACTGAGAGCGCAGCACACAGTCCAATGAAAACTTCTAATGTCAGCTCGCTGAAGCCTTTCTGCCACCACCACCTCTCCACATTGCCGAAGTAGCCGCACAACAAAGCAGCATTACGAGCAAAGATGAAAGCATGCATGTATCACAATAAATGAGACCTCTGCATTAGGAAACACCTAGCCTCACTTTCAAACTGCTATCTTAGACATCGACGATACAAGCAAGCAGCGCCTTGTAGTCGTCTTTGGACTCAAGTGCGTTGCCTTGTACCTCACTGGCAAGAGATTGGGTTCAAAAGCCAAGTTGATAGACGTCTTCTCAGAGCCGCGCTTGGTACCAACCTCACTTCCACGGAATGCACCCAAGCTGCATACAACCCTTCCGAAGACCCTTCCAATCCGCATGCTCGGGATCTAAGACTGGCACACAGTAGCTGAAAAGACCCAGCCACCAAAGAGCAATGGCTGCTATCATGGCACCTTGGCTCCAAACAACTTACCAATAGGCAATGCTTGGCAATGCTGCCCTTGGGAGACGCAGACAACGGCACCGAGTTGCACAACGCGCACAAGCAAATGCTACCACAATGATCCAGCACCTAGCTAAGCCTTGCACACGCGAAGGCCGTGCCGATAGAGCTACGAAGGGCAGGCTGGTAGGCCGGACGACCCATATCGTACAAACCTCACAGGAACAGCTGGGAACAACCATGCAAAGAATTGTGTAGTAGTATGATAGTCACACTTTGCCGAGTGGCCGCTCTGCTGTGGGAAAATCTCGTACAGCTGCCATACAAGAATCACGCTCAACCTTGGGTAGCAACATGGTTGGCTCTGCTGATCACAGCAACAAACCATGCCAGGAAGCGCAAAGGTGATGCTCAACGGGTTGACCACAAGCAAACCCACGCGGTCCACCGTAAGATCCCACGGCGACAATGCCACGGTCCGTCTGCCCCCACCTTTCGTGTTTCATCAAACCAATAGCATTTTGCTTGCTCCATGCTGAAAGGCAAGCTAAAGGCTTGCCAAGAAGCTTTGCAGAAATTCTCTGCCCGGATCACCAAACATGGTGGTGTAGCGAACGCCCACAATCTCCGAGATATCTTGGTGTGTTGTGCCATGTCCCAATCTTTGCCTTTGCCAGCCCCTCGCAATGCTGCCAAGATACTCCAACAGCCTCCCCAATGCCATGGATTGCCTGAGGCTTGAGGAAGGTCCTGATCATCTTCCCCAGGCCTTGAAGACGCGACACACACACACACACACACACACACACACACACATCACGAGCCCAAAACATTCTGCTTCTGATGGCACTGTGTGGGAATTCTGCAAGCAATGAGGGCGCACAGTGGCAAACGGTTTCGCGCAAAAAGCACTACCCAACCACCAATGCCAAGAGACTCAACATGGCGCCACCACATCAAAAGCCCGGCACTACCATCGATTGCGGTGTTCTCTGTGATCACCTCCAGCTTCACTCGTTTTTGCAAGCATGGCAACAGGTCTCAATTTGCCATCCATGTCGCACAACCCGGCCAACGATGGTCACCTGAATTGGCAGTTTGTTGAGAAAGGGCCATTGCATTGCAGGCACAATGCAGGCGCGGACTGTCGCCTGTAGCCTAGCCATAACCTAGCTATAGCCTAGCCACAGCCTACAGCCTTATAGCCTAGCCACTGTAACTCAGCTTCAATGGCACTCCATCTCGAAGTGGTGGAGGTCTGGGCGCTGGCTCAGCATCCCAGTGGCCAGCCCACGAATCAAGGTCTGGTTGTGCCGGCCTGTGACAAAAAGCCAGCTGGCATTGGCTAGCATTGGCCAGCATTGGCTAGCATTGGCTATGTGAAGAAAAGCTTGTGAGAATTTACAGGCTTGCCAATCGCCCTGAGCTCCGCACAAATCTGTAGCATGTGGCAGCTCCATTCGGCCTTAACCCGGCTGTCGACTGGTAGCTTTCATCGCCTAACCTTGTCTTGAGCCAAAACCAATGAGAAGGCTGCGAGTCTACCAGTCTACCAGTCTACCAGTCTACCAGTCTACCAGTCTACCAGCGTCTACCAGTCTGCCAGTCTGCCAGTCTGCCTGCGTCTGATAGCATCGGTTGCTCACTCGTCATGTCCCTCTCGCATGCATGGGTCCTGAAAGTTGGCAGCCATGAGCTCTTCCATCAGATGCAAGGACATTGCCCAACAACCGCTGTTGTCACAGGCATAAATGGCCGAGTAGAAAGCTACAGCACTTTGCTCCGAGTCACACAGGATTGTCAGACATTCTTGCCAGAACCCTGCTTTGCCACAGGCACTGATTGCGGAGGCAGCAGTGATTTTGTCAGCTTTGACATTGGCACAACTCATGCTGGTCATTATACCCAAGGCACGTTGCCAGGACGCTTCCACAGCACGAAGTGAAGAATTAAACGTGATCTGCTGCGACTGAAGGTGTCTTTGTGCAAGAATGCGAAACATGGCAAAGGCGTGTTTCCATTCACCAGACTCACCATGCTTCAAAGAGTTCAGCAAGGTATTAAACGTGACTGCATCAGCTCCCACCCTTGAACATGGCATGCCCTCCAGAATAGAACTTGCTTGCACCCACTCCCCGTGCTGAAAGGCACTCAGGACTCCATTCATCGTAAACGTATCTTTGCGTGGGACTTGGCATGAAAGACTCAAGGCTGATCGCCACTTGCCAGGCACTGCGCAAGCACTGATTGCAGAGTTGTGTAGTGTCACATCCGATTGAATCCCAGCATTGAAGCCATCCCACATAATCTGCAATGCAGCCAGCCATTCATTTGCTCTGCTGCAAGCCGACAAAGCACTGCTGTATATGACCACGTCTGGAGGAAGCCTGAAGCTAGCTGCAACCGCTGCAAGCTGGATAGCCGCGTGCCACTGTGCGAATCTTGAACAAAGGCTCATGCAGCAACCAACATGGATTGAATTGGCCTCACCGTGAACAAAGGCCTGCAGAAGCAATTCTAATGCACTTTCCCACCGACCATCCCGCCCACACTTCTGGATTGCTCGTGTCAACTCTACAGGTGTCGAGCCACGAACATAGTTGTCCATCATGAGGCTCGTGCTGAGCCCAAAACTGCTGAATGCGGGTTGCAAATGTGCACAAATGACTACTGGCCCTCCCATCCCAGATATCTCAGCACCACACTTTCCCGCCAAAGTTCTTCGCCCGATGTGAACCCACCCTGGGAGCACATCAACGTACAAGAAGCCGAGCAACCCTAACTGGCGCACTTGGCTGGGGAGCTGCATTGCAAGGAATGCCCATCTGCTCCCTGTGCTCATCCTGTCAATGCGTCAACAGTCATGATCTGTACAAGACTCACCGCTTCTGTGTGTGTAAGTGCGGGAGCGTGCAACTTGACATTGGGCAAAAAGTGTTGTCGTGCGAAAACTGATTAAAACTGATTCCAAACCCCTTCTGCTGTTGCAGTGGTGTTCGCGCACCAAAGCAACCATGCTTCCCTTACACGCCATCATGACATGGGCGTAAAGTTACCGGAATGCCTTGCCTGAGCAGGTTTTTCAGCCTGGGTGAACCAGGCTTTCATGAGAAGATGTTCTTAGTTGATGACAACCAACTGGCAGGTGATTGGTTCCATCCAATGCAGAAAGCAACTAAATTCCCTGCAAAATGTTGAATGTCATGCAGAACTTGCGCAATGAAGCGCAACGTTGTGGACAAAAAAGCAACTCTAGACTGCACTTACAGAAAATCTACTGTGGGCGAATTCGCGGGCAAAGATGGCTTTGTGGTGTCCCATCCGGCGTACCAAGTGGAAGGAGGCCTCCCTTCTTTCTACACTTGACAAAACGGAAGTGACAGGAAGCCATTGTCCTGCTTACGAGTACCAAAAAGTTGTGAATCTTCGTGCACACTGTCCTGTTCACTGCGACAGCCTCAACAACATTCAGTGAAAACATGTCAAAGGGGATACACTTCTCCAAATTGACGACCAGCTTGGCCCATCATATGTCTTGAGACAAGCTGGAGAAGCATGAGGCGTCGGGATGCTGACGCACACGCAGGCGCTCCGGCAAGGTGAGCTCCACCAGCCAGCCATAACCACGGCCCCAAGGATGAGGTCTGACAGTCTCACAATTCTCAAAATGCGCCCCTGCACAATCCTAGAAGGACTGAAAGAAGGCCATACGTTGACTGCAATACAAAGCTGAAAACTAAGCTGTTGGCCCGGAGCGGACAGAGGGGCTGTCCTCACCGAAGGCTGAACAATGCTGGGAAAGATGCGAACAAACGCTGGGCAAGGCTGGACACCAGGCAATGCTATGCAAGATGCTGGGGACGAGGGGAAAGATGCGAACAAACGCTGGGCAAGGCTGGACACCAGGCAATG